AAAAATGTGTGCGGTACTTTCCCGAAAAAGCTGAGACCCCTTTCACTGTTGACAACACCGTTGTCACATTGGTAAAACAAACGTGGTCTGAAGAGCACGGTATAATGACATCAGTGTGGAATGTCAAATGCAAGTACGTGACTGTAGAACTATCGATGTTATCATTGCTTTCGTCACTTATAAAATGTCCGGTTTTAAAGATCTTTTGCCTCAGAAAAGCTAGAATTATTTTGAGACTCATTATTAGAAACAAACAAGAGTTTGTTTGCAGGGAGCGTGTATTCGAATTGCGGCACATACAATACAAAAAATGGCCAGATCATTCAGCTCCAAGTGACACCGTGGGAGCGGTAGAACTTCATCGTTTGATTCGGAACTGTCCGAAGGGTCATCCTATTGTAGTGCATTGTTCCGCTGGAATTGGAAGAACTTGTACGTTAATAGGTAACTGAGATGTTCATGTTGCTTCCTTCAACACCAGTGTTAACTGCACTAACGACGTTTGAAACGATATTTTTGTGCTGCCTTTTAGTAGAGCTTCAAACCTCGCTTTAAAACGTACAAAAAACTAGAAGTATCATACAACAGAAGCTAATCGCAGTTAATAGGAATGACTCTGCCCACATAGGTACAGTCTGCCCCATTGGGAGGCCGAACCACTGGTGTGAATTACGCGCTCGCAGCGCCAGGGGTTCGCGCAGCATATGCGCAGTGTCGGAGAGAGGGAAGAGATTGACGGGAGGGCAGACATTCATGCCGTAGGCGTGAAGCAGAACCCGCGACGTGGACTCCCGACGTTCTAATTTCGACCTGATTGAGATTGAGGCAGACTATACATTCATGTCGTTTTCACGGCTAAGCTTAGATTTACGCTTTGAAGCCTGTAAAAAAACAACGCGTCATCTCTGCTTTGCAGAGGCTCCAATTGGCTCTACTAAGTGTATGCCTCTTCGCACTCGCACGATGATGACTTTGGAACATACCGCTAAATGCTGAGCACCACAAATGAATTGTTGAATACCCATACCTACGGCTTCCTCATGTAAGATTGGTAACAGGAGGCTTTTGCAAAAGAACAAAATTGATTAAATTACCGATGGATAAAAACTTCCGGTCGCGCTGGCGTTTGGCAAGGAGATGCACATCATTATGGTCTCCTCGAGACACTTATAACACACACGTTTTCCAAATCTGCGAATTTTCTTTGAAAAGAGATACGGACCCCTGTTGTGTGGGTTTTGTCCTCTCAACGGACAAATGCATTATGCGTCTCACTCCGGTAGAAATGTGTTTCGAAACGTATTCATAGCGAAAGCTTTTGATATTAAACTGTCTAACATGAGAAGACTTCAGATAAGATACGGAAATCTACAAAAAAGCGATGGGGAGCCACGGATTGGACTCGCTACCCTGAAATGCAACTGCTCTCCTTACTGCACTCATCGATTCTATAAATGATGAGCAAACGGATTCGATTCGACTGTAGACGGGACAGAACATGTAGCCGAGGTTCTACAACTTTTACAGGGCAGTTCCGGAAATTCGGGAAGCAGGCATGGATATCAGTACTCTGAAGTGACCTCAATATCGGATCGCACTGGAGTTCATAACACTGTGAACTACGGTGCGATCCGATATCCTTCTCTTGTGAGTTTATCCGCATGATAGTTGCCATATACCTCTAAACAAAAATCTTCTCAGCTGCTCAGGTGCCGCCTTGCATCTAAGCAGCAGAAGATTGCCAATCAACAAACTAAGCGATAATTTCTTTTTGGAGAGTTTTCGATACGGACTTTTCTATCATAATTTGAACTAAAGCCCATAGCCTGCATATTTGTCAAGCTTATTATCAATGATTTTGCAAAAAGTTTGAAAATCGACCCACCTTTGCAGTCCAGAAAACGGATTTGTTTGACACGGAATTTTTGAGGAGCTCGCTTTTGGACCAGCCCATCTTTATAGATGGGCCTGAGTGCTAGTAGTGCGATATAAAGTGGCTTTAGACCTTAGCAACTGCATTGAATTTTGGCAGACAGATTTTTAGACAGGTACACAAAAAGACAGGCGGCCTTAGCGCGTCATTATTGTAGGACTGAAGAGTTAGGTGGGTAAACGTGGAAGAAGATTAGTCAACTGATGACGATACCTTCTTGCCTAGATGGGAACCTTTGAACCCTTGAACCTTCCGCCCTCTCATTCAACACTTTCTACGCCACAGAGATGAAATATCAAATCGTTTGCAAGCTATAGTGTACGTTTTGGACTAAGCAGAGAATATGAAAAACCAAATGATAGTTCCACTGCCTTCGAGTGGCCCATTAACTCCTCATCATAGCTGTACACAAGAACTATAACGTGCATTTGAATTATTGTGCTTTCAGGGGTGGAGCTGTTATTGGAACAATCAAGGTGGTTGAATTATTACTCAGGCAGAAGTATTGTCAAAACGATGCGGCGGTCTAGACTGGGTGCTGTTCAAAGAGCTATACAATTCTTATTCATGCACTACGTTCTCCTGGATCTTTTTTGCAAAGTAAGTTTTTTCTCCCAGTTCCAGTCTTAGATTTCAATCTGGAAATGCTCAATCCTCTCCTATAATATAAACCCGATGCGAAAACACGA